AAACACACAGACACACACACACAGACACACACATACAGACACACACACAAACACACAGGCACTTGCACCTACGTTTATATAGTTTTTCAAAAATACACGCATACACACACATACAAAAATACAAACACACACACACACACACACACTCAGAACACCGCAGCAAGACTTGTTGCAGGTTGTTCGAAATTTCATTCACTATCATTATACATCAGGGATGATCTGCACTGGCCCCTAGCGCTTCTGAAGCTATTCAATAGTATACAGATACAAATATAGATACAGAACAGATACAATACAAATACAAATGAAGATAGGTACATATAATTACACAAAGATACAACCAAATACATACATAAACATACCACATACGTGCCCGTACACAAACATGAACACGACATAAACATAGACAAACATAAGAATTAATACTTTTTGTTATAGTCAACTAATGTCTGTTCGGACAGGTTTAATATGGAAAAATTAATGAAAATAATAAAAATACTTATTAACGAAAAAAATTTCATTTCAATAGAACATATTAAAAAAATCGAAATTCGATAGTAACTTCTTCTCTTAATGCACTTGCATCAAAGGTTTCAACGACACACACACGCACGCGACCGCTAACCACGTTGTCTGCGTATATTTGATTTTTTGCTGTAGATGCTAATTTAGTTGCTGATGATGTAACATTTTAAACTTCTAATCTTCAGATTTTGGTCTTCTGGTAATTAAATCATTATATGGTAATAGTAATAATAATAAAAAAAACTATTGTCATCATCTATAACATCATCATTATCATCACTACCTTCATTACAATTATCATCATCATCATAATTTACATCATTGCCACCATCATCACCATCACAGTCTACTTACTTGGTGACCAGCACCAGAGCAAAATTAACATCCCCACCCACGCATTTCAGCGTAGTGAGCTGCCTGTGGGAGGGGAGGCAACATGAAACAAAAACAACGATGTAAACAATGACGTGAACATTATAAACAACAACAACAACAACACCCTCAACAACAACAACTACAACAACATCATCATCATCATCATCAACAACAACAACATCATCACCACCAACAACAACATCAACAACAACATTATCTTACAGCAAAGATGTTTGTATGCTTGTTTGTTTGTATGTATGCATGCATGCGCTTATGTATGTTTCTATGTATGAATGTATATGTATGTACGCATGTTTGTTTGTTTGTATTGTATCTATGTCTGTATGTATGTGCGTATGTATCTATATATGCATGTTTGTATGTTTGTATGTATGTATGTATGCATGCCCTGGACATTTTTAGATATGCAGACTACGACTTATGTACACCACATCTTGCTATATTTAGAGCTGTATATGTATATACATATTATATACTAATGTTTTGTCAAAAATGTCAAATACTAAAAGTTTTTTTTATTATTTAACCTTAATAAACTTCGTCAAAATGACAAAAGTCTCGTTAGAAAAATTGAGAAACTCAACTACAAGTTGAATAATGCCGAAAACGCAGTGGTCTTTACACACACACACACACACACACACACACACACACACACACACACACACACACACACACATATATATATATATATATTATATATATATATATATATATA